GTGACATACTTCTTAGCCATGTCAAGAACATTTAATTTGTCGTCCATAGCGTCAAGCATTCTCAGCAATGATTTTTTTCCGCCCATCGAATTGGATGTTAATAAACAGTATGGTCTTGGATTAATAGCATTTTATGCCTACCATTCTATCAAAAATATCACCTCAAAAAATAATATCATCTGTTTAGAGGTGGTAGACCCAGAAAAGTTTTGGGCAGATGTGGTGCAGCGAGAGAAGAGTTGGGCCGAGGAAGGCAGTGCACCGAAAAAAATTAATGTACGTGTGGCACCCGGCGCTTATGAGATTGATGAAATTAATAAGTTCGTCCAAAAAGCTATATATGACTATCTATATCCGGATACCAAAACTATTATAAATCAGGGAGAACTTGATGCTATGTTTAAATTGTCGGCGAACAACAACACTCTAAAATGTGAAATTTCATCTAAATTCATAATCAACTTTGATTGTGACAACAGTATAGCTAGCCTCTTAGGATTCAGTAATTCGAAGTGCCCGCCAAGGCCTCAAGCTTATGTTTCTTCAAGGCCGAATAATATTATGAACCTCCACCTTGTTCAATTGGATTGTAATATTATTTCTGGTTCCTATATAAATGGGAAAGAAGCCCACACCCTTTTTTCATTTGACATAGACGTTGAGCCAGGATACAAACTGACGAAGGAACCTCATAACATTATTTATCTACCAGTCATACCTGCCGGTCGGCAATACCTAGACAACATTACTATCCGAGTTGTAGATGATAACGGTGAGTTGATTGACTTTGGGGAGGAAACTATCAATATCACACTCGAGTTAAAGGAGATAAACTAATATGGGATTCTGCTTCAAACCACGACATTCAACTAGCACCCATTTAAATAATCATATAAATAGAATCGAAGGGAAAAACATGAACATTCGTCGAGTAACTGTAAAGCAAAGAAGACTTCTGTTGTCTAATAAAGATTATAAATTTCTTCAATCTATTGGATTCCATATAAGATATTAAATAATGGCTGTTTATGTAAGAAATGAGATGTTGGACGTATTTGAAAAGCCGATCGTCGATAACTCAATCAAAAGATGCGATGGATATATTCACCCGCCTACGGGATCGCCAAATTACAAACATTCTGATACAATCACCTTTACGATCAATAATATGGACCTGAATCTCTTAATTTGCGATAGTTACATCAATATAGTTGGAACATTTAAGCCAAAAGAGGCTAATAAAAAGTGCTATTTGGCCAACAATGCTCTTCCTGGCCTATTTGAAGAAATTAGATATGAAATGGGTGGACAAAAGATTGCTGAATGTCGAAAACCTATTATAACGACAGCAATAAAAAATATGGTGTCATATGGTGAAAAACATGCGAAATTATTAGAAACATCCGGTTGGGGCCTCAGCGAAGAGAATCAAGTTTTGGTTGATTCAACGAGTAATACATTTACAGGTAGAATCTTATTAAAACATCTATTTGGTTTTGCTGAATCTTACAAAAAAGGGATAATAGGTGTTAAGCATGAGATGACTGTAATAATTGCTCGAGCATTCGAAAATTGCTATATAGGAGAAGTCGATGCAGACATAACTATCACTAAAATGGATTGGATAGTCAAACACATTACTCCCGAAAATGATGCAGATGTTCTCATGTATAAAAAAATTAATGACAAACATTTGCAATCCATTAAAATACCGCACCATAAATGGGATCTTTATGAATTACCTACTCTAAGACAAACTTCTAACGACATATGGGCGATTAAAACCACTACATCCATGGAACGACCTAGATATGTAATTATTGGATTTCAAAATACTTCTTTTACTGAAAACAGGAAAGAAGATGTGACGGCGTTTACGGCTGCTGATATAAGCAATATCAGATTATATCTAAATTCTGAAGTTTACCCATTAGAGCGTTGGAATTTGGATGTTTGGAAAAAGTTGGATACTCCCGCTTATTATGCTTATGAAGATTTTCAGCGAAGTTACTATAAAAAGGAAAATCCTGAGCCGATGTTAGGCCTGAATGGCTTTAGAGCGAACCCTCTATTCGTAATTGATTGCAGTATGTATCCAAAACCAATCAAATCTTCAACTGTGGATGTCAAGGTTGAATTCGAAACACGTAAAATGCAGTTTCCCGCCAACACTAAAGCGTATGCGCTTATTATTCATGAAGCTCTTATAAGTTATAATGCACTAGATGGCACTGTACACACTGAATATATGCCATTGTAGTTCATATAATCTAATTTACTGTATCCAAACTTATACCTGTGTTCACTTTTAACAAAAATAAAAAGATGTAACCTTTTTTAAATAAAAAACAATTAAACTATGTATATTGTTTTATTTATATTTTAATCACAGATAGATAGATATATTATATAAGTAATCCCTAATCCATTTCGTCATCTGTCTCATCATCAGCCTCATCGTCTGCATCTTCATCTAAACCATGTTTACTCCTTATTTGCGGGGTGAGGTATGGTAAGGCCTCGTTCAAGAAGCGTTTCAAACTTAGGGTAACCATCTTCTCACAGAATGTATCTAAGTCCAGCTCACATGCATTATATTCGCAGCAAAGACTGCTGCCTTTACAGTATTTCTCATAACAATCGTTTTGATAGGCCACAGCTTCTGGAAACAGCCATACCTCAGCGTCGTAATTGATGGAGTGTAACGCATCCATCGCCAGTGCGTCCAGTTCCTTTCCAAGCCTGCTTATTGCTGATTCTAAGTCGATGGCTTTAGGCCAGTGCTCTTCGGAATACATCATCCACATGTCGAAATAATCTGAAACAATATTTGGCCGTTATTAAATGAACAAATATTGGTCAAGTTATACTTACGATAAAATTGTGGAAATTCTTAATGAAATATTGCGTATATTAGATATCTATATGTGTTTAAAAGTAAAAAAATATTTACAGTGACTCTACCATGGATTTAACTAATTGATTGCTGGCCAACTAGATCGATTCTTATATGAGACCTAGTAGTTGAGTTGTAACACGGCTTTTCCCCTAAATAGGCCATGGCATATTGGCCAGTAGAATCATTTATCATAGCAATGACTTCGGGTGGCATTATTTCAAAAATGCGTCTCGGTAACCAACACTGGAAAAGCTCCTGTGAGTGCCGATCAATTAAATGAATAAGTAAACATTTACCATATCTGGTATCTTTGACCAATATCGTTTTAATAATATAAAGTTGACCTATAACCAATGACTTTAGTTCTCTTTGGTCCAATATTGTGGGCCAGTCTCCAAGTAATTTATTAACCGCATCAATTTGCGTTTGAGCCATAGTAGAATACAAATAAATATTTTTTTTACCTGTATAATACACAATACTACACAATACTACACTCAGTTATTATTTGAAACTTCTAAAGACTCTTAAAGCTTACGATTTTAAACTGATTCCATTTGGATATGAGGTCGCTATATATCCTCCCTAAAAATCCCCACCTCCACTATGTTTTCCTTCTCAATATTCATAGTATGTAATATAGAATACAATAGTAATCACTAGGAGGTAAATAGTAATGACTATTTAAGCGGTACTTACAAGGTGTATAGAGTAATGAGATGTACTTACTATGCTCATTACACTACTCAATTACGTTCATTAAAGTATATAATTTACAGAATAATTGGGAGGCACTTGCTAATTGCGCGAAGGGTGGGATACTACCCCTTCCAACAATATTTACATCGCGCGTGTCTGCCGAAGACCGGTGATTCACTTTAGCTATGGCGGTTGAGAGTCAAGGGTGTGCATGGCGCCGACTTATTTCCCCTATGCTACAACAGTAAACAAGAGAAGTACTTAGACTTATTACACTACGTGATATACACAATAAATACTGTCTGAGAGGTATGCATATGGTGTAATGAGAGGTACTATGCTCTTTACACTATGCAATTACACTCAGTACAGAATAATTGGTTGGTCCTTACATCACTATGTGTACTGAGAGGTACTTACTATACTCATTACACTATGCAATTACACTCATTACACTATGCAATAACATGGTGTACAGAGTAATTCAGAGGTACTTGCTAATTGCGCGAAGGGTGGGGGGTACTTGCTAATTGCGCGAAGGGTGGGGGGTACTTGCTAATTGCTCGAAGGGTGGGGGGTACTTGCTCGAAGGGTGGGGGGGTACTTGCTCGAAGGGTGGGGGGTGGGTACTTAGGGTAATTACTAATTACACCAATTGCCTCTGACCTTGCCTGTGACCTTGGTCCAGAACTGGCTAATCCCATCTACTAAAACAATTCACTAAAAATCTCCAAGATATAAGATTATCCAAAACCATAGTGAGATACGTGCAGAAAGCAGTCATTTTGCAAACCTGCCATATCGTCCGCAGGTTCTTAAACGGTACTTAAGTGGTACAAATTGAATTGTTTCCCTGCTAGATTTTCCGAGCCCATATATATTGTATAGCGAAAATGTATACCAGCATGTACTGAGAACACGAAAATGATAATAGTATTTTCATCAAAAATTAAAAAAATGTGTATTGAAAAATTTTAAAGCAGTTATTGCTTGAATATGGTGATCATTTTAGGGAAAGTCGACATATGTATAGACCCCAAAAAACTGCCCTCGTAGTTGCATACCACAGCTTGGATGTTGATATATCAATGCGTATGAAGTATAGCGATGGGCCATCGTTCGGTGGAGATATAAAGCCACCTGTCCCAAGTCCGTAGATAGGTATTGGGCTCATGATCCCTACCTCTGGTTAGAACACCAGGTATTTGATTGTAGCGTGCTCACCAGCATCGAGGTTTAGGCCTCGTAGTTAGAAATAAGTCGACATTAAAAAAATAAATAAAAAAATATATATTTTATATTTTGAATTTATTAAATAGTTTTAAACAACAAACTGGCAGGAGTGACAGTGATATAAAAATTAGAACGAACTAATGTAAATTACAAAAAATTCTAAACAAATTTACGCAACGGCTTTGACAGCATCGGTAGCAATTCCACATTGATTGTTTTTGTTCCTGGACATCCAGACGTAGCCTTTCATTCCCCAATCTTCTCCCCAAGAATTTTTGACAATCCAGTAATCTAGACCATTTTTAGTTCCGTATCCAACAGCCAAAACGCCGTGATCTAATGATTCTACTGAATTTTCGCAAGAATCATCATCGAGAACACCTAAATTGAAAAACACAATTGTCATATCAACTCAAAGAGATGATTATTTATTTAAACACAGACGGCACTATAGTTGTAATTAATAAAATCCATATTAATATTTTATTAAACAAATACCTGATGAGTACAGTTGGAAATTCCAAGATGCATCTATAGCAACTGAAACAGGTCCAACTAAAGCAACTTTCTGTTGCAGATCGTTTTCATCGCCAGATATTATTTGAGTGAAAGATGAAATTTTAACAGCGACCTCAGAGGAATTAAAACGGCATTTGTCATCTTCTGCTTCATATGGATATTTATCTTCAGCCATAATTCCATTTTTCTGTACGTACTTTAGTGCATCAATCATATATCCTCCTCCACAACCGTAGCAATCAGAATCACAGTCTACTAGATTTTGTTCGCTTAGAGAAATTAGGTAACCAGTTTTGATAAAGTTTGCTCCTTCTATTGTGCCAGTCTATTAGAAAACAACGAAAATTATTGTTCCAATTATATCCAGGACGTAAATAGCAACAATTATGTTTAATGGATTTTATAGATAAATTACTTACTGCGCTAAAAGACCAACAGGACCCACATTGTCCTTGATCTTTAACTTCGGTAACTGCTCCTTTCTTGCTCCAATCTACTTCAGCTGGAACATCTTTTTCATCCTCGAATTCTCTAATGCTTCCATAAATTTTTGGCTTTTGTTGCCGCGATAACTTCATCATATCTTTGAACTCATGACGAGTAAGATCTGCAAATTTGTTTACTCCCATTCTAAAAGAAGAAAATCCTCGTTCTTCCTTTGCATTATGTGATTCAATTCTACGTAAGTTGGACTTGAAAATTGAAAAGCGTTGAATTTCTTCAATAGAACTTTTGTAGATTTTTCCATGCTTTGTCTGTAAAATGCAGATCAAAAAAGTTAATGCCTTGGAAATTAATATTTCAGTTAAGAAGCCTAAACCTATATGTTTTTAATAGCAAGTAAATTTTTTTTTAGAAAATGTATTTAAATTTACATAAATATCTGCGCACACACTATAGTGTTAAATTCTAGAATATGGGTTAAAGTCAGCCTATTAATCATCATATTACTGCTACTATTACATGTTAGGAAGCAATAGTATATTTTAAGGTCGAAATAAGATTAAAAGTACAAAATACCCATATGACTTACTTTAAAATTGATCCATTCATCGTAATCATTAAGTGCCTGAGAAGCAGCAATAATTGCAAACACATATAGAAAGAACTTCATCTAAAAATTTACATAGTCATTATGCCTTTTAAAAAAATATAAACAAATACCACCGAACATTGCAAATACATACCTTTAATGATGTAGCAAGAAATACTATAATTATTATTTTATTTATAGAAAAAAAGGTGCTCGAGACAAGATTTGAGACTGATGTTTTCTTGTGGAGACTTCTTCATTTATATGTTACATTTGTTTATCAAAAAGAAATATTCTTTCTTGCAAAATGTTTGATTTTGAAAATATATTGTGAAAAGTGTGATAAGTTTGTGATTTATTTATTTCAATTATCTAAGTCTTGATCTTAAAGATTATTTGTAAATAATACAGATAATTGTTTCTAAAAAGTATTTCTAGCTTTTAGTTAGCCATATTTGGAGTAATTTCTACCAATGTTTGAGCTAAATAATCTAAGGACCACACTTGTCATGTGTCGCTGTATTTGATAAAATTTATTTTTACGTTATAGTACAGAATCCAAAGTAAGGTCGACCTTTACCCATCTGTTGTAACAAATAAATTTTTTTTTTATTAAATAAAATGTTTATAAATATACTGTAAATGGGTTGCATATGAAAAAACTATTACGGCTATTTTTTACTTTTCTTTCTGTATACAGATAAGGAAAGTATATGAACTCATAATAAAACTTGCATGTCATTTTATATAATTTTGGGTATATACATGATTTCCCTAAAATTGGCCGTATTCGAGATATTTAAGGAAAAGTGCAAATTTTGAATTTTGAAGATTACTCAAAACGAATAAATTTTTAAGCATAGGCGAAGTATCTGGGAAATACTTTATAGGGTGTTGTTTTTTTACTTTAAGAAAATATATAGTCTGGACAGGATTTTCTTAGGCCACCCATTTGCGGTATATTTATAAACATATTTTATTTAAGTTTATAAAAGTCATTTTAGAAACCAATCTCAAAATCGTGCAGATGCCCTTAAAAATCAAGATTTTCAATTTTCAATTGTGTACAGAACTACCCCTGAGATATTCTCTTTCTAACAAAAAAAGAATAATTAGAAATCGGATAACGTGGTAAAGAATTACTGCTGACAATACATAAAAAATTAAGAATTTGATGATTTTATCATGGATACTATTATTAGATCTTCGCCAAATTTATAATAATAATAATAATAATCTTTATTTGCCTCAATTAAAATTACAATTTAGATTTAGAAAAAATACATGTATATAAAAAACGAGATAGGTAAATAAGTAGACACCCATATATTCATGGCAAATAGAGTGTACATTCACAAAAGCAGGCTTGTGCGTGAATGCAGTAGTTCATTTATCATGAAAAATAGATGTATAAAAATTAAATTAAAAAGTATACATTTATAAAAGGAAATGTTTGAGATTCACATAATAGAATTTTAAACAATTTAACTGTAAAATATAATATAAAAGGACAATCAAAAAACAGTGTTAGTAAAATCAATTAGAATATTAATAGACATTAAATTATTAAGTTTTTTTTTAAATCACGATAAGATTGACAGACTATAACACGTTTCATTTCGCGGCGAAATAAAGTTTTGCAATGTAGCAGTCGGAAAAAAAAGGATCCAATTTTTTATTTTCTTTTTAAATAAACTTGCGGAGTTAATTTTTTTTAAATCAGATGGTAATTGGTTATACAACTTTGGAGCCAGGTATGTAAAACTTTTTTTTCCTATAGCTTTTTTCATTTTGGGTATTACGGCAGCTCTTTCCTTATATCTACTTTTACGTATAATTGGTAAATATTTAGCACTCCAGTTTCTTAGTAGAGCTCAATTGTAGGGTATTAATATACTTTTTTGAATTTTTTGTAGGTATTCGATAAGAGTTTGTCCAGTCGATCCCCAAGCAATAAGACCGTACGTTAGATGGCTTTCGACTAATGCATAATAAAGAATTTTGAGGTAAGTTAATTTAAGGATGTTAGAAATATTTTTATATAGTACAAATCTTAGTTTTTTTATAAAATAGTTTATTTGATGGTCCCATCTTAAATGGGAATCAAGGAAAATTCCGAGATATTTAATTTTATTTGATGTTTTTATATGAAGCATTTTTCTTGTGGATACAGTAATAGATATTTGTTCAAATGGTGGTAAGTCGGAGCTATATGAAGTAAACGGTAAGAAAAAGGTTTTTATATAATTTATTGTAAGTAGTCTGCTCTCAAAAAAATTAACTATTTTAACAAAGTCAAATTCAGTGTCATTTTTGAGAGCTGACCAATTGTCATTTTTATAGAAGACCGCGGTGTCATCAGCAAAACTCACAATATCACCTTTTGTGTCTTGCAGAAATATATCATTCAAGTATATATTAAATAGAATTGGTCCTAGGACTGTTCCCTGTGGTACTCCATATTTTACAACTCTGAAATCACTGTGAGTTCCACTAATATTCACACACTGTTTTCTTTCGTTCAGTTAACTCTCAAATAGCTTGTAAGCAATACCCCTAAATCCCGCATTTTCTAGGACAGATAATAGCTTCTTGTGATCGACGGTGTCAAATGCCTTAGCAAGGTCAACAAAAATGGCAATGGAAGGTTGTTTTTTATCTAAATCATTGTTTATCATTCCTAGTAACCTGGTTATTGCATCCGATGTTGACATATTTTCACGAAACCCGTACTGTTTATCTGATATATATATGTTATATTTTTTTTATAAATGATGCTATTCGTTTCTGTAATATTTTTTTAAACACTTTTCCTACGTAAGAGATTAGTGAAATTGGTCTATAGTTTTCAGTTTCCATAGTATTTCCATGTTTAAACTGAGGTAGAAGTTCTGCAATTTTTAATATCCTTGGAAACTTACCATCATTTATTGATTTGTTTATTAAGAATATCAACACAGGTGCTATTTGTGTACATACTGTTTTAAGGGTTTCTGATCAAATGCCATCTAGCCCTGGTGACTTGTTATTTTTTAAACTCATTATGGTTTCTATTACCTCGTTTACATCGGTGTCTGAAAGATAAATTGTTTTGCTTATTTTTTGTTGTTTAATATTTTTTACCATGTTTTTATTGTTTATTTTGTTAGCCATTTTTTCTCCAAAGTCTGTAAAGTAATCGCAGAAAGCATTTGCAATTTGTTTTGGGTCATGAACTATAGTATGTGCATGTGTTTTAATTTCATTTATTGGCCTTTTTTGTTTTTGAGTGTTTGATATTTCTCTAACACATTCCCATAATTTTGTACCAACATCTTTATTGTCTTCTATTTTTTTATTGAAGTAGTATGATTTAGCTTGTCTCATCAATAAATTTAAATAATTTCTATATATCTTAAAAACTAATATATTATGTGGTGTGTAATTATTTTTCATTATTTTATATAACCTATTTTTTTTATTTACAGAAGTGATAAGAGCTGGTGTGGTCCAGGTTTTACGTTTAATATCGGTTCTTTTTATTTTTTTTGTTATTGTAGATTTTTCTCTACAAAAATTGAGACCACCCCTAACGTACATCCTTTTTATCATAAAAATTTGACAACGTAGTAAAGAATTATCGTTGAACATACATTAAAAAAAAATGTACCGACGAATTGAGAACCTCCTCCTTTTTTGAAGTCTGTTAAAAATCTTTCAACCGTTAAACAGATGAAACAGGTGGATGAAGGTCGACCTTACTTCAGTTCTTAGACTATTAAGAAAAATTTGTAATTGACTTCATAATATAGAGTCAATACATTGATTGATGCTTTCTACATAACCGATACAGGGGCAATAACTATGAGGTTTTAGCTGTAGGTATAGTAACACCAAGCTCGTGAAAAGTCTGATTTAATCTATTAGATATGACTACTGGTATAATGTTTGAAAGTTCTAAAAAGTAGATATTTTTTTAAGAATCCTGCGAAAAAAACATATTTGAAAAATCATGTTTTTGTAGAATATGACACCAACTAGTTTAATGAACAATTGAATCACAATAAATAATATAGAGCTCCTATACGTTCGAAGATTGGCTATGAAAGCATTGCCTACATATTATTAACTGTTTTAACTACTGAAAATTGCTGAACATAATAAATGAAAAACTAGGTTGGAATATAACACCAATAGGGCTATATCTAAGAGATAATATAAAGAGTAATAGCCTAATTACAAGGGAATAGATTGCCAATGAACTACTGCAGATTCAACAAGAATTACAAGCTGTCCTATGGAAATATGAATTTTCTACCCTAAAATATAGATAGGGGGTAATAGTTTAGACTGGACCTTGAGAAGAAAATCAACATTTAAATTCGGTTCCGTTAAGAGCAGCAAAACAGCTAGGTAAAGAAGTTGTTTTCCACCTAAAGCTAAGCAAACCAACCTAAGAAATAAGAGACCTAACCTTTGCGAAATGGAAACTCAGAAGAAAATAGCATCAGACCAGAGCCTCGTCAACTAAAAACAACCATCTTAACAACGGCATCCAGCACTAGTTAAAGAGAGAGTTAAAATTAATAAAAGAAGTATCTATTAGTGAGTACTTTAGAGAGTTGACAAACGATAAGGCTATATAGATAAAGTCTCGGAAATATCCCAAGTCCATTTGCTTTCTTTAATATTTAAATTTAAAATGGATGAAACCAAAACTTACTAGATTTTGGCAAGACGTAG